ACAAAAGAAAGCAATGGAAAAGTAATAAAAGGCAATAACTCTGTAATTACTTTAGATAGAGTTATGGTTCTTATGCACTGCACTTCCTCTCAATGTGCTTGACCATTGTATGTAGTTATATTGAATTCCAACCATTAGTCTTCAAGTTATGCTCCGGACAAAAAAAGAAGGCAATTGAAAAGCAACAAAGGGCAATAACTCTGTAATTACTTTAGATAGAGTTATGGTTCTTGTGCACTGCACTTCCCCTTATTGTGTTTGACAATTGTATGAAGTTGTTTTGAATTCCAACCAGTAGTTTTCAAGTTATGCCACGGACAACGAAAAGTAACAAAGGGCAATAACTCTGTAATTAGTCAAGATAGAGTTATGTTTCTTACGCACTGCACTTCCTCTCAATGTGCTTGACCATTGTATGTAGTTATATTGAATTCCAACCATTAGTCTTCAAGTTATGCTCCGGACAAGGAAAATGCAACGGACAAAAAAAAGCAATGGAAAAGCAACAAAGGGCAATAACTCTGTAATTACTTTAGATAGAGTTATGGTTCTTGTGCACTGCACTTCCCCTTATTGTGTTTGACAATTGTATGAAGTTGTTTTGAATTCCAACCAGTAGTTTTCAAGTTATGCCCCGGACAAGGAAAAGTAACAAAGGGCAATAACTCTGTAATTAGTCAAGATAGAGTTATGGTTCTTGTGCACTGCACTTCCTCTCAATGTGCTTGACCATTGTATGTAGTTATATTGAATTCCAACCATTAGTTTTCAAGTTATGCTCCGGACAAGGAAAATGCAACGGACGTCTGGACCGACCGACCGACCGACCGCCCGACCACCGGGTGACTCCTATATACCCCCCCCCCCAAACTTCGTTATTGGGGGTATAAAAATGTTGTATTTACCAAATTGTTTATTTGGTTGTTAGTTAAAGCCTCAGGCGGTGGGGAGGGGTACATACTTTCTTTTCGTTTATTTCAATGGATGATGCCGTTTTTGCCTACAGTTATCATTTCTTGATTCATAGCTATTCTCTCTAAATGAACCACAAAAAGCGGATAAAACATTCATAGACATATAAAAGCTATACTTAGTGATTAGAACTAGTTTTAACTGGAACAGAATCGAGTTTGAATCGATCAATTGTTAATGATCAAAGTAAGTAAGCAAAACAGGGAGTGACATAAAAAAAATCGAATAAACACTGAATTAAATGTCCGCAATAACATCACTTAAAAGTCAATTATAAATCAATTACTTAACTTCTCACAAGTTAATCTATAACATATATAGAGGACACCTTGACATTGGTAGTTTTCTGCTTCAAAACAAACTTTTCATTTCAAATCAATCAAAAGAGACACATATAATTTGAATGAAAATTTCGCCTTTCCATTCATAAATTTGTTAATAGCTTAAAACTATCGCATCATCCTTACACTGTTAAGAATATATGAACTGTAACTTATATATTTCAAAATATGCTTCAATGCTAAGCTTGTCTACTAAATCAACACTATATGAATGGTATCCAGCTATGCATTTTGAAGCCGGGCCCATATGCGTCGCAAATTCGAACAGTGGGTATCGTACTGTATTTTAGTTATCGCCTGCATGGGGCCATTCTATGAAGGAAAAGTAATATTTAAGAAGATTATCTTTATACACAAAAGATACAGACCAACTCGCTCTACTTTTCCGAATTGATCTAACATCTTCCATTTTAATGACGTCATCTTAAGGAAATACTTTACTTGCAGGTGTCTGGTGCCATATTAAAGCTGTAAAATCAGTTCCTTATGTTGATACAGAAAAAAAAGTATATAACTAAGCAATAAACTTGGTTATTAACGTGTTACTTGGGAATGAAAATTTTTGCATCGGGGAAAAAGTCTCATTTTGTGGAACGTATGAAATTAATTAGAACACCTAATCGGTTTAAGCTTCGGTAATGCTGCTCACCCCCAGCTAAGTTCTACTTAAATATGGAGACAGGCAGACAAATCGATGACAACAAGGCCACAAAAACAAGAGAAACATGTCATGTAAGTATGTCATTCGGTATTGTCTTCATTAAATAAAAAGTTTTCTACTTTTTGTTTTGTTTTTGTTTCGTTCTTTAATTTATCCGTACATGGTCGTTGCTGTAGGCCTACTTCTTCGAGAATCTGTACAGGACCAGCACTAACGTTGTTACTATAAGCCACAAATGTCACTGTCCAATACCCAGACCAGTTGGTGCCAAGAGTTGATAGTAATAACATAAAAGATGGAAAAATACTTAAAGTGAAACATTTGCCATACCGGTTGGCAATGCTGTACATTGTACGAACTTATCTTACAGTACAAACACAATTGATTGCGTTTATTAAGAATTTATTACACTGTAATGATGACTTTAATCTTTTAGTTTGAAGGGTCGTACAGGTAACAGATCAGCTTCATATGGTGGCTGATTTGGTACACTTTGCGATGGCGACAACAGAACCTATATCGTTATCGCCTTTTTGTCTTGTCGCTAGCGAAACTCTCTAAAGGGCGCGTTGTCGCACTGTCGTCTTGTCTCTAGCTAAGCACGCCAAACGACGCGTTGTCGTGCGGCGCGTTGTCGCAATGTCGCCCTCCTGTCGCTTGGCTTATGAGCCAATCCTTCGATTTGAGCCGAGCGACAATATGACATCGCGACAAAACGCCGCATGACAACGCGCAGTTTGTCGTTCATCGTTAGCGACAGGACGACAAGACGAACGTCCGACAATGCGTTGTTTAGCGCTTGTCGTGCTGTCGCTAGCGACAACACGACGTAAAAGCGTTTCAAATCAGTCACCATAGCTTCATGTGATCAGCATGTATTCCAAAATATTCTGATTCTCGTTTAGAATACGGGAATATGGTGTAAGAAAAATTGTCATATAATAATGTAATTTCACTAAAACCTAGTCAAAATTAAATCAGAAAAGACAAGTTACTGCTTTAAAGTCAGTAGATAGTGAAAGTACTATCTAAGTAAAAAAGTATTATTATCAATTGGGCGTATATTTTTCACATCCCTCCCGTTCTTAATGAAAAGAATCTAATTGCATAAATAATTAATTATAAATACTTAACACTTCTGAGCAACGCGCGATTAAAAGCTACACAGCCACGTCCCGAATTCCGTGTTGGATGTACCTTTGGGACAAGGTCGGACTTCGACTTGTAACGGTTTAACAAACAAAAGGTGACAGCAGTCATGTAACAGTATGGAACGCCGTGACTGTCTTATGCTATCAATGTTTTTGCTATTTTCTGAAATGATGATATTATTTTGTCATTTAAGCATATAAACATGTGCAATTTACATCATATCTTGTCTAAAGACAATGCTGACTTGTTCAAACAGCATGTTAACTTGTCAAATAATCATTATGACATGTGCAGACAACATGTTAACTTGTCAAAGTATCATGATGACTTGTGCAAACGACATGTTAACTTGTCAAAATATCATAATGACTTGTGCAAACGACATGTTAACTTGTCAATATTTCATGATGACATGTGCAAACAGCATGTTAACTTGTCGAATTATCGTGATGACATGCTCATAATACCTTAACAAGTTAACATGTGTTTTGCACAAGTCATTACGATTCTTTGACAAATTAACATGTTGTCTGCACAAGTCATCATGATACATTGACAAGTTAACATGGCATTTGCACAAGTCATCATGATACATTGACAAGTTAGAATGTAGTTTGCACAAGTCATCACGATACTTTGACAAGTTAACATGCTGTTTGCACATGTCATCATGAAATTTGGACAAGTTAACATGTTGCTTTCACAAGTCATCATGATACTAGGACAAGTTAGCATGTTGTTTGCACATGTTATCACGATGATCTGACAAGTTAACATACTGTTTGCACATGTCATCATGAAATTTTGACAAGTTAGCATGGCATTTGCACAAGTCATCATTATACTTGGACAAGTTAACATGTCGTTTGCACAAGTCATCATGATACTTGGACAAGTTAACATGCTGTATGCACATGTCATAACGATAATTCGACAAGTTAACATGCTGTTTACACATGTCATCATTGAATTTTGACATGTTAGCATGGTATTTGCACAAGTCAGCATGATACTTTGACAAGTTAACAGTGCTTTTTGACATGTCAGCATGATACAAGATAACATGTCATTTGCACAAGTCATCACGATTCTTTGACAAGTTCACATGTTGTCTTCACAAGTCATCATGGTTATTTGACATGTTAACATGCTGTTTGCACAAGTCATCATTATACTTTGACAAGTTAACATGCTGTTTGCACATGTCATCACGATAGTTCGACAAGTTAACATGTCCTATTCACAAGTCATCATTATACTTTGACAAGTTAACATGGCGTTTGCACAAGTCATCATGACATTTTGACAAGTTAACATGCTGTTTGCACATGTCAGCACAATAATTTGACAAGTTCACATGACGTTTGCACAAGTCATCATTACATTTTGACAAGTTACCATGTCATTTGCACAAGTCATTATTATACTTTGACAAGTTAACATGTTGTTTGCACAAGTCATCACGATACTTTGACAAAATAGCATGTTGTCTGCACATGTCATCATAATAGTTTGACAAGTTAACATGCAGTTTGTACAAGTCAGCATGTTCATTTGACAAGACATGATGTAAATTGCACATGATAACATGCTCAAACGACAAAATAATATCATCGTTTCACAAGATAACAAAAACATTGATTACATAAGACAGTCACGGCGTTCCATATAACAGCAGCCAGAAGAATATTACTGAATGGAAACCAATGACCTTGACATTAAGTCACGTTCGCAGGCTGAAAATGTCTAAAAATACAACCATAATGACAAACAAATATTTCGGTTAGATAAATACGGAGGCAAACGTCTTTTTTAGACAATAAATCGATCTTTTACACGTTTAACGTTTGGTTGGAATTTATCCAAAGACGTACTGTTATGACTTTTACAGTTTTACGTGAGCTGGAAAAATGTTTGTTCATTGACCTTTTCTCCACAATCCGGATTAGCAGTCACAACGTAATTGCATTTGCATAAACATGACTGGAATGTAAACATCAAAAATATTTACGCATCGTAAAAGTTGCGTTTTAATAATTATAAATAGATCTTATTTCGTAATTGTCTTAATGAATATTATAGCATTGTGACTTTATTTACATTATGTTTCCCATTTAAGAAATGACATCAAGTCAAGGTATGTAATTCAGGAGACAGGGGTCGTTATTTACATGCACAAAAATAACAACATATCATTTTATAAATTAATTAACATGCTTAAGAATGTTTATTTTAATACGGTTTATAAAACCATGACCAAATTTTGTTATGTTTAAAGGCGGAATCGACGTGCGTAACTCAACAGTTTAAATGGACGTTACAGAAACAAATAGAATAATGTAGATTTTATTAAATAAATGATTATTATAAAAATAATAAAACATCATTTCAAGATGGCACTTCCCTCAAAATGTTGTTGTATCACTCAAAAGAATCCTCATCGATCATATAATTAGATAAAACAGAAAAACTTGAAGAATAATTCTGGTTAAAAAATAAACAACAAAAGAACACACAAATAACCCCCCATATTTTAGCAACTTGCAAACTATATTACTAGTGTACTTCTCTACTAGTTATGTACTAAGTTACTAACAATGCGAACGCTCGACCTTTTTGCACTGCGTCGTCAAATACGTGTAACCTTCAAGTGCTTTTAAGTTTTAACAATATGAAATTCTTTAAAAATATACATCACACAATAGCACGTTATGTAAAACATAAATCTGTTCATAAATAATTTCCGTTTTTTTTAAACGCTGATCCTGTCATTTATTTAGGTGTCAAGATCATACTTAAATAAACCAATCTAAAGTTTTACCCAAGAATCGTGTTAAGTTTAAACTTCAGAACTAAAGAATCAGTGACCAGATTGAAAGATGGACATCTTCGATTACAATATTAAACGTTGTAGGGGTAGAATCCAAGTTATCTTGCTCCGATATACATTTTCTTGACTACGTGCAGTAAACAAAACGTTGACGTTTACTTTTGACGTTTGTCGTAGGTTATAACGCCTCCGTGTGTAGTATACCATTTACTTTAAGTCTGTACAATTCGTCTCCAATTGTAGATGGGGGGGGGGAGGGTATTGTGGTTTTTAAACCCGATCAATGTCAATCGGAACGTTATCGGCTATTATCAATAAGTCCGTACTCAAAGTCTGACGGAAAGGGCCGAAAAGTTGCGATTGGATCATTGAATTCTAATAAAATTCAAATAGAGAACACGTATTTCTACAGTGCACATGAAAACCACGTGACCACTACTCTGCAGAATTGCGCAAAAACGTGTCTCTCCATGATAATGCTTATTAAACTTGAAAAGTTTAATCATATATACAATGGAAAAGGAGGACGTACACGTTATGACAGGTCAGTGACAGACTCTGCGATTCTGACGAGATATGTAATGAATTTCATTTAAATTTTGTCATACTAAAAAACATCGTTTCACACATACAATTATTATCCATCATGCAAGGCGGAAATGTCAAAATTTATCACTCAATTGTTCACGATGTGACGGAAACTGAACTGACAACAAGCAGACGAACTTGATAGAATGAAAACAGAAAATATTCACTTTGGCATTAAATAGGTTCTACCATAATGTCGGTCAGCTTATGTGAGGTGTAATGTAGTACAATAAAGTGCAATGCTTAAAGAATATCCAATGCATTCGACAATTGCGCACAATAAATACATTGAAATTGTCCACAATTCGAACACACCTATTGTGCTCTTGCGCGCAGAAAATAGAACAATTTTCATACTGCTGCAAATTAAAACTGTCACTATTCCTGCAAGAAAATTAAATTAAGTAGGCAACCTAGTTACATTAATTTGCGATTGTAATTTAATTAAAATACTCACTCTCAAAATTACTACTGTGAGAAAAATAGATGAAAGTTCGTGTTAATTATGTGCATGCTGTGTACAAGAGTTGTGAACCCGAAACATGAGCTGTGAACCCCATACAAAAGTTTTTAACTCCGACCATATGTTGTAAACTCCATATACGAATTGTTAACCCTATACATGCATTATTTACCTCATACATGCGTTTTTAACTCTACATATTAGTTGTGAACCCCATATATGACCTTTGAACCTCAAACATTACTTGTGAACCCCATTCATAAGTTGTAAGATGTATACGCCCCATACATGAGTTCAGAATCACATACATGAGTTATAATATCCCACACATTATAAAGTAACCGAGAAGAAATGATTGCTTGCAGATACTGACTAAAACAATTCCAATCTTTAAACCGGTTATCTTTTTCTCTTTTCTGTATTTTACTTTTATTTTTATATTTTGTTGTTGTTTCTGTTGTTTTTTTTTTCTTAATAGCGCTCCCTTGTTGAACGTCAGCCGGAAAATACATGTACGTTGAAGCATTTTGGCTTCAAGCTGTCATCTAAACCCTAACGACAAAATCACATCATTATTCATGCAATATCATAACACTAAAATTTAATCGAGATAACGAAACGTCGAGAAAACCGATGTCGAGATAACGATGTTTGACTGTTAATACCCAGAACTGTGTATATACAAGGATAATTCAACAAATCAGATGCTTATGATGTAATTTATTATCAGTGGCAATAAACTAACAATAGCTTACTTTGTCTATTAAGAAAATACAAAAGGATAACGCATTATGCTATGACGTCATCTTGATACTGCCTAAGATGTTTAGAATTCCATTGATGTCTGGGCGGTCTGGAAGCCTGTATCTTTGTAATATTTACAATAATATCTACATATTTCGATTAATGTTTATTTACATTTTATCGAAGATGGCACAATATATAACGCACAGCTGTAGCGGGATGGTATTTAGTACGTCAGTTCAGGCGCTTATGGCACGTGCAAATCAATATGTAGGTAACACATGTTCCGCTCATAATTCTGTCCTTCAAATATCATAGGGTTCTTTTTATATTCATGTAACCTTAACAAGGCGGTGAACATATGCTTGCTGAATTAAGAGAACTGTAATAAAGCCGGAAAAGGAACGTCCGTACCAATGGCCTAAAGGTCAGCAGTAATTCGGTAATTCTTTTTCGACACCATTTCAAACCAGCGGACCGAAATACTTTTTCATAATTATTTGACAAATAGAAAACATTTTTAATAGGGCCAACTTTTACTGAAAATCTAGTATCAAGAGAATATTTAAAACACAATTTTAAATCACTTGCAAACGATACTACTGCCAAAATAAGCAGATCTTTAATTTAGACGCTGAAGGCAGATGGACAAAAGTATATGTAAAAGCAAAAATAGATTTTGATTGCTGTTACTTTTATGGAATTGTTTACGAAAGACGAATGAACTGTTATGAAGTTTATTCAAATGTATAATATTATAGACCTTCAGAGTGCCATTGCCTTGAGTAGAATTTCTCACACTAAATGCTATTTTTCACACTATAAATGTAACAAAGTTAACATTTATTTCTGAAAATAAGATAATTTTCTTACAAGAATTTAGAAACAAATACTACAAGATGTGTTGTATCCACCAGTATTTTATAACACATAGGTCTGTGAGTAAAACGAGGAAAATGGGCGTTACCCGAGGCTTAAGCCGAGAGTAACAGTATTTTTACGAGGGGTGATATTTATGCAAGCTTTGTTAGAATAATTCTGCAATCATTTGATTAAACCCCATTTTTCTTATTAAGAACTAACCCTAAGTTAAAGAAGGTGACCCCTATTACTTTCATTGTATAAGTTTCAGCTTTTTTATTGAGAGTATCAATAGAATTTCCTTCAAATTGTATAAAAAAAAAACAACCTCATTATATAACAATATACTGTTATAAGCATGTATTTGATGCTCTTTGTTTTTTGAGACATATAATAGAGATTCATTAAGTCAATAAGATTCTTCAGTTTAACAGTAAAATGGTTTTCCATTATTTTTTTTTCAATTTAAATGCTTTTAAACTTTTCATTGTAACATCTTTGTTGTTTTAAGCAACATCATCGTCGTCACGTGTACTAGTAGTTGATGATAAAAACAACTCTTTTTTTTTCAAGAGATAAATAATTAATAACTTTTAGTACTGAAACCAAATCACGACATTTGTTTGTTTTTTTTAAAATACGTCACGATTTATTTTCTAAGGAACAAAGCAGGCGACATTCCTATGTCACGTTCTCTTAACTTATTTATCAGGTATTATAGTGATAATTCATAAAGATTTCAGATTTTTTTTAAAAAAAATTAAAAAATTTATGCCCCCAACTTACTTTCTTTTTCACTTAACAAAAAGGGAACAAAACCCATATGTTTTTTTCTTTTTTAAAAGGTCACTGAAAGTTGACACAAAAAAATACATGTACAACGTGTGATGGCACTAACGAAGAGTTCCAATAATAATTTGAGCCGCGTCACGACAAAACCAACATAGTGCGTTTGCGACCAGGATGGATCCAGACCAGCCTGCGCATCCGCGCAGTCTGATCAGGACCCATGCTGTTCGCTTACCAACTCTATTACAAGTAGAGAAACTAACTAACTGATAACGAACAGCATGGATCCTGATCAGATGCGCAGGCTGGTCTGGATCCATGCTGGTCGCAAACGCACTATGTTGGTTTTGTCGTGACACGGCTCATATGTCTTTGAAGTTCTATAGAAGTTTTGGTAAAAATGGATTAGGGTCTCAACCGTTTGTAAATGTATATTTTATTAATTTCATTTTTTTTAATTAAAAGTCATAGCCCTTGAAACAAACAATATAACAAATAAACATAATAATATAAACATGGTGAAGAAGTGAATAAGGATGGAGGCGCTATAAAAATTGCAGCAGTATTTTTTTAACAAAATAGTTTTTTTAAATTTTTAATTTATTAAAGGGTTTGAAAATTTTTATGAACCAAAAAGTTTAAAAAAATTTGAATTGTGAATA